ACAAAATTTTAATCTCTATAGTTGTAGTAACATTGAACCATAAGATGCATTTTGAAGTTTTTTGGCAGCATTTTCATTCGATTTTTGCGAAGAAAGCCTTGAATAAACTAAACGTGCGCTCGACGTGGGTTGATACAAGTGACACCCAATTTAAATATGGAACGTTTAAAACTTTCATATTACCAGGAATAAGGCCTTTTTCCTTGCGCTTTACAATCAAAGGTAGAAAAGGCAAATATCATAAAAAATTCAAAAAAAGGCAAAATCAAATGAGTATATATGAAATCAGGAAAAGCTAAGTCGTGGACATTCTTAATCGAATGTACTCTACCTCTTTAGCAGAAAACAAGGCAATTTCCATAAAATCCGTTCCCGGTACATAAGTATGTACGTATTGTCAATCAATTAAGTTCAGGTACAGTGATTTTTTTGCAATACCGTCAGCTGCTTTTTAATTAATTTACTTTTATTTTATTTTTTATATGGTTTATTCTACAACATAAACAAAAAAAATTTGCTAACATCAACATTTTTTAAATCTAAATTTTTTTATTCTTGTTACTGACAGAATTTACATATGTAGAGTTAGCAAGTCAACCTTCGAAAATTGCTGGGCTAAGGGCCAATTTCATCCCCGGAGTTCCGCATAAAGGTAGCTATGGAACGGTGTAGGAGTTCTCCTGATTGCAAATATATAGGCCCGTAGTTATAGTCAAAATAAAGTCGACTCTAAACTTAAAAGCCGCTTTTTGACATAACTTTCAATGGGATATCTTTAAAAAAAACCTGCTTTTAACTTTAGAGTCGACTTTATTTTGACTATAGCTACGGGCCATAGTTTTTAGCTGCGGGAGGCTTATAGTTTTTAATTTATTTGTTGTTAAAGTTTGTAAATTAAACTATCCTCTCGGCGCTATTTCACACAATAAACACGATATTTACGTAAATATATAGCGTATATATATAGCTTCGAGAAATATGGCAGCACACATTTGCTCTTACTCTCGGCCATTGATATTTCTGTTTGTTTGTGAAAAATGCTAAAACGAGTGAACGAATTTATAAACGCGTTTTACTTAATTAATTATTATTAATATTAAAAGTATAAAATATGCAATCATATTGCTCGTCAAAATGACAGTACTTTGTTTGTGTAAAATTATTTTAGTATCGGTTTACCGGTTACCGAATTTTCGTGGTGGAAGCTTGATAATTTTTCTAATAGTTGGTAAACTGCAATCAGCTGTACGATATTCATCCAATTTTGAATCCGCCCGCTGCCGGAAGGCATAACGCATTTGAGTAAATAAAATTCCTTCAATTTTTTGTTACGATTTATTTTTTTATAGAAAAAACCTACGAATCGGCTGCTGACAAACATACATAGTTTACCAGACTAAAGGTGTGATTAAACGTGGCAATGCTAGCTCTTTTTCTACGCATTTTTCTGTCAAAATGCAAAATCGAAAGTCTACTTTCCCGTGTAAAGAGTCAGAAAGTCCTTTTTGCAGATTTGCAGAAATCACTTTCGGCAATAAAAATTGCAAGGTGTAACTGCAACTGAAATTACGCAAATCGCTTTCGGTAAATAATTGCAACTTGCTCGTGCAATAAATGTTAAATTGTTTTGGAAAATGGTTTTTCATAAAAATTATTGGTTTTACTCCATATTGATGCTTTATTACTTAAATGAAAAAAGTGATACATATTGATACATTTTGAGTCTCTTTCCTGCTACAATTTTTCACAAGTCCGCGGTCACACTGGTTAAGAACCGTATATATTTAATTCGGTCCAAATTTGAATAAATAAAAATAAAAAGAGGGCGCGTAGAGGAGCTTTTTCCAATTCTAAAAGTGAAAACAGAGCGCGGAGGCTTCCATTTAAAAAGTTATGAACTATTAAAGTTGCACAATTTACCATACAAATCTCATTGATTACATGGAAGTGTTTTAAATGAACACAGATGTTGGTGCTACCAGATGATGAGAATAGTAAAAAAAGAAGTCGAGGGTTTTTTATTGAAAATTTTCACTTTATATTGAAATACTGTTTTACATGAAAAAGTCGCTGGCGAAGTATTGATTTTAATAAAGATGTTGATTATTTATCGATTTATTGATGCTTATAAAAAAGGCGCCGCACCTTTTGCAAAAGTTTCCTTTTAGTTAAAGTGACATTTAAATGTACTTTAAACAAGAAGTGTTTTCATAATACAAGGGGAATTGAATAATAACAAAAGGTCCTTTTAAATGAAAATGAAAATAACAAAGTTTGGTAATCATGATTTCGGGAAAATTGCATCAGCTGGTTGTCATAAATATGTTGTTTACTACGAAGATTACATACTTTTTTTCTTACAAAATGGACCTTCATGTTATTTAGATTTGGGTATTTAACTAAAGAACCTTATGGGCATCTTTACCTTTAAAGTGGCTTTATGAAATCGATCAGCAAAGTAAAGCATTCCTTTAAATTATAAAACATTCTTTAATTTTATTATGAAATCGGCCCTCAATATTTAACGATTTAACTCTAGTTTTACTCCTAACCATTGATTGTGCAAGCCAATTTATCAATTTAACCGGTAAACTTCGAATTAAATAGATAACCTTCTGTTCTGCAAGTGAGCCTAAGATTTTAAAATTTTATATTCAAATTTAAATAGGAAATGTAAGCAAACGTCAAAAAAGAGAGCCTGGTGCCTACTTAATTTAGAAATACCTCGGGTTACTTAACTCTGGGCCAGTTTTCAATACTGTAAGGCCCACTTGCAGAACATCCAGAGTTAAATGTATAAATAGAGAGATAAGAAGCTCAGAGTTAAATTGTTATATTCCTAAACCAGACATTGTCAGACTCGAAGACACCGTCAGAAACTCATAGCGCTTTCCCTTCTCGAAATAATGTTGCGTTAATTCCACCCTGCGCCAGGGCTATGAAGTTTTCGTGCTCTTTTCTCAGCATCTTCACAGGCTTCTTGCGTGGTCTTTCTTTAAAATTATGCACTCTGATAATGTTGCTATATAAGAAGGTGACATTTTTTCGAGAAAAGAGAACGCCATCAGTAAATATTTCGTTAAATGGCTCGAAGGCTACGGGGAGGGTCGTGCTAGGTATTTTCTTTCATATTTTTACACATACAGAGACACCTGTCCAATATTGTACAAACAACTTAATGTATTGCTAATTTAGTGAAATTGATATGTATTCATTGGAAAACAACTTATTACTAATTTTAGTACTTAATGTTAATTATTTTCCATACTTTGACAATTAGTCTTTTCAATAAACTGTGCTTTAACTTAAAAATGTGATTATTGTTTTTAATAATGAATTCTGCCTAAAACATATATGTACATATTTAAGACTGATGATGATATCTAACGTTATAACAAAAATTAACAAAAAACTATTCACTTAATTTAAAAGAGAGAAAATTTGTTGTAATATATTTATTGCTTAAAAATTCTACTTACAATTTTGGCCGCTGAGCACAGAGAAAAGAATATGTAAAACATGTGCATACACAAACGTCAGTGCTTAGCACATGTGGATTGTAAATCAGCTGATTAGCTTTTGTGTATTCTATTATGAGTGTCGGTCAATTGAGATGCCACATTAGAATATGCTTATACATGTTGGTACGTTTTACGTATACAATGTTACATTTGTAAATTGTAGTTTTGAATTATATTTAAAAACTAAATGAAAAAGAACTTTATAAAGCAAGCGTTTTGTTTAAATCGGTATTAGAATCAGAAGGTGATAAACTAGGACAAATATTATATTATCAAAGTCTTTATTGCAGTAACATTGAGTTTTGAATGTTAATATAAGTAAAAGAACAGTTTCGATTCAATTTATATATGTATGTATGCGTATACTCATGAACCAACTAATAAGATCACCCAGGCAACCGTGTATTTGTAATTGCATTTGAGAAAAAAAATAATAGTTAATGACGTCATTTTTTAATCAGTTCTTTCATTCACATACAGGTTTCATTCCGTTTCATTCACACGGTGGCGAAAAAAAACGTCACTGCCAAAAAAATACTTTTTTCTCGCACGCCGTCCTGGGTGATCTTCATTCGTTCGTTCATGCGTATACTTGTACACATGTACACATGACAATAATATGCACAATTTTAGGTAAAACGCTACTAAAAATTTATATTTTTCGTTATTTCTATCCAACTCTCCTAGTTTTGTTCTACATTTAGCATAAACAAAAGCGTACTTCATTTAGTACTTTTTGAAAAAACGACCTTTTTTATTCCCAGTTTCCCTCCTACTTCCAAAATACAACATTTAGTAAGGGAGTTTCAAACCAGCTTGTCACAACGTACAACACCTTGTATAATTTCACCATGAAGTTAACCTTCGAAAATGGCTGGGCCAAATATTTAACGATTTAACTCTAATTTTACCCTTAACCATTGATTGTGCAAGCCAATTTATCAATTTAACCAGTAAACTTCCAGTTAAATAGATAACCTGCTGTTCTGCAAGTGGGCCTTAGCCATTGTCTGGTTTAGGAATATAACAATTTAAGTCTGAGCTAATTAACTCTCTGTTTATATATTTAATTCTAGATGTTCTGCAAGTGGGCCTAAGCAAACCGTATGCGCCAATACCATGAAGCAGGCATTCGCACAAAAAAAAATCTAAACAAAGACTTGATTTTGAACATTACAAAAAAAATTGTATTTGCAGTCAAACAACTGTCCAAATTAGGGCAACATAGGAAATAAGCCAATTTCGTTTTATTTGACCAAGATTTAGCTATTAGCTTGTGATGGTCGAATAAAAAAGGCTATTTTGGATCGAAAAAATAAAAATCAACAATAATTTATTTTGAGTGAAAAATAAAACTTATATATTAATCATTATTTTTAATTAAAAACCAATGTAAATTATAGTAGGACATACGTGTTAGTATAGTTAAAATTGTTTTGATTCTTTTTCGTTTCTGGTTATTATTTAATGAATACTTACCTAATACATCAATCTGTTGCCGACATTCGTATGAAAATTTTCCCATTACTTCGTTGAATTTATCTTCGTCGGATTGAGGTGCTTTATTGTTTTGTAAATCTATTTCTAAACTTTTTATTGCCGTAGTCATCTGACGCATAGATCTCTGTATTGAGTCTAGATTTACTCGAGAAGCTTTATCGATATGCGTCAGGTCTGTATAAAAATCTAATATATCAGGAAAATCAGTTTCTAAAAGTTTTACCAAATAATGTAGGAGAGTGTGTTTGTTATCAATATCTTTAGTATTGGAGAGCTTTGCAAGATAAGACATTTCAAATCCAAACGCAGCTTCGCTCCTTGATCCGGAATTTAAATAATTTCCTATAAGTAAAATTAGTTCTAAAATTTTGGCAAATTTTTTGCTGTATCGAACTTCTTCACAAGCTGCTGTTCCTGCAACAATATCGGGTTTAATGTCTTGAATTAGATCAGCATAAATCAATTTGAAATTAAGATTGTGAAGACGAGGCACCAGTCTCTTTATTTCTCCAATGGTTGCGGCAAAGAGTTCAACTGGTGATAAGGGATCCCCCGTGGTTTTTATATCAAGGAGTTTTTTCAACTGATCTGGCGGAGGTAAATACTGGATCAAATTCTGTAAAATGGTGGAGGATAATATATCTGTATCGCAGCGCAATAGGCAAATTTTAATTTGCTCATATGATAAGTGTTTTAATGGACCACCAAGTAATATTGCCAAGTTTTGAGCTGATTTTGAATCCAGTACCCGTAAGTTAATATTTTTTTTAACTAAAGTGTTTGCCTTATCGACAGAATCTTTTTGATCCTTTTTAATAGGTTTTGAGGAAAATCTTTCAGCAAGTTCAGAAAGAAATTGGTCCGATGCTAAGCGGTCTTCCTGACAGCTAAGCCAAAATGCTTTCTCAGACATAGAATGGGGTACTATTACTTTCCAATTAATTCTTTTCATAGGGTTTCCAACTTCCCATTTTTTTTTCGGTTTTAAACCCATAGGAAGTTCTTGAACGAAACAAGCCAAAGTATTTCCAAATTTCGCCTCGGGTAATGGTACCGATCCCAACTTTGGCGGCGGTGGTGGTGGTGGTGGTGGTGGGCCAAGGTTTGGCATCGGCGGAGGTGGCGGCATTCTTACAATGTTATTTGTAGTAAATGCTTCTACAATTGGTGGCGGCGGAGGTGGTGGTGGTGGTACAAATGCTGTCTTTGCAGCTACACTTCCAGAAGATGGACTGGCTGACTGAAAATATAGAAGTTGTATATACATTAATATAAGGTGACCAGAATTTTTTAGCATTCCAGGACGGAGAATTCTGAAAACACAAAAAATTTGTTTTATATTTATTTTAACACATAAATAACGAATAAGTCAACATTGTTAAAAAAAAAAACAATGCAAGGTTGCTCTAAACACAAGTCAAACAAGTTAATAGTACACTGCGTTGCATAATTATAAGACCGAAACTTATTACCGTTTATTTTTGGCAAATTAATTATATAACTTTAGGTATTGGTTGATGCATTTCTTACTCAGCGTAGACAACTATTTAGCAGGGCGTCCAACTAAACTTGGTTATGAAGTGCCATATCGAGGATAAAAAACGGCCGAAATTTGCCAAAAAGAAAAATAAAAGTGCCAAAGGCGTCATTCTTTTTAATTCTTCCCATTTAGCTTTAAACTTAGAAACACATTTCTAGAACAAAAGTGCAATGCCAAAGCAAGATAAACCAATTGTATGCACTATAGAAATTAGAAAATTTTAGTTGAGAAAACAAAGTACACGCAAAAGACTGCACAAAAATGTATGGAAATATTACTATTCATCAAAAGTGCCATTTTGGCACTTTGTGCCATATTGAAAAATTAAGTGCAATTTAAAGTAATATAGGGCCAAAAGTTGCGGACTGCAAAATTTTTGTGGTAGATAAGCCTTAAAAATTGTGGTAGATTCCAAAAAAACGTGGTAGATCTACATGTATGTATGTACAAGGTGTGCCCCGATTACGTTTAACCCTAAGGTGGTTCTACATCCATTTTTCCTTCGGGATGTGTTTCTGGTAAGCTTCGGAAACAAATAATATTTGAATTTAAAATCGCCTACTGGGTTCTTTTCTTAAAAGTTAGGGGTTTTATGTAAAGTCATTCGTAACCATTCATTCAATAATTAAAGGTTTGCTCACAAGTGATATTAGAGTTTTGACACACCCTTAAGCCCCTTACAAAATCTTGCACACACACACGCACCCACACACTAAGGGAGCCGATTTTGTCAGGAGGGAGCGAGAAACCTTTTATTATTGAATCATGATTCGTAACAACCAAGAATATAATTTTTTTATTGACAGTATTCAACATAATGCATTAAATTGTGGATATAATTTAGCAAAGCTCAAAAAATCGGACAACGGAAAGACGTGTCTCGAAAGGCCCTATAGTTATTGATAAGTTATTGAGGTTTTTTTCCGCGTAAAATTACAATTTTGTAGGAATTCAGAAGTTAAATTTTAGCCAAGTAAATTTAGATCAAATTGTTATGAAGAAAAAAATGTGTAGTCGCGAACTTTTGATGCAGTTTACTTCTATTTGACACGTAGATCATGCACCCAGTCTCGTCCCTAATTTTCAGACCGTAACATTCCGCTATCTTGGATTTTAGGTTTTTTTTTCAATTTTTGCGATTGCAAGCTTATTTTGCATTTTTCTTAAAAAACGGTTGTATACAAATTTGCATTTTTTATATATAAACTTAAAAAAATCATTTTTTATTGTAAATAATTAGCAAAATGTGATAAGTTTGCTGAGTTTGCCTTCGGTATGCAGGTTACCTTTGTGTACGTAGCACCAGGTACATGGACAGCTGCCTGGAATGCATTCCGATTCCACCGAAAATATTACCAAGTTTCAAGTCAGTGACAATAGTACCAGTAGTAGTAGTAGTAGTAGTAGTTAATCATTAAGATAATTTTTAGGAATAGATGTTACATATGTCTGGCTCATTCCATCTCAAATCACCCAGGCCGGGAGAAAGTGAATTTAAGTTTGCGATAAAACTCACAGGGATTATTCCTTGAACAAATTAAGGAGACACATATTTTTTCTTTTTGCTCAGAAATGCGAATTTTTCGAATAATGAATTTTTTTCTTTTTTAGTACGAACGCTTCTTTTTTCCTCTCTTAATAGCAACTTTTGATGAAATCGTTTATAACTGCCGCAAAAAGCAAGGATTTTAACGATTTTTTTTTAAATTGCAGATATTGATCTACTGAATCGATCTAGTGAACTAAACATCAGTAATTGTTTATTAATAATTAATTATTGTTTATAAACAAAAAAAAAATATTTTTCAAATTGATTTTTTTCAAATTGCCACATCTTTTTTTCTCTCAAACTTTTCTGTCTATTAGGGAATAGTATAAACAATTTTCGGTACGAGTAGCAATATGCTAAAATTCGTCATTTTCGAGTTATGATTTTTTTTCTGAAAATGCACTTATATGATGATAGCAGATTTTCGTGCCAGTTCAGGGCACAAAAATTGTTGCCCATTATGACAAAATTTCCTTGCTGGAAATTTTTTGAGGTTGCCCGATCAGAGCCAAAAGTTTTTCCCAATTGGGCTCTAATTTTGACCCAATTGGGACCCGATTCGCGATTTGCCCAATATACCGAAGATTTCCCCAACCAGTGCTCACAATTTACTCAAAGTGAACATGCATACGCAATTAAAACGTTTTTATCGATAAAATCACAAATACACACATTCCACATACAGATTTTTTGATAAAAAAAATAATAATTTTTTAAAATATGCTATCTTAAAAAAAATTAAAAAAAATCACAATGGTAGCTCTGAGTATTGCGCAATATTTAAGTATAAGGGGGGCACTCTAAAATAACTTGAGTTATGAATTTTTTTTACGCCGAAGTTGAGTAAAATGAGTACATTACAAATTAAAAAAAAAATTAAATTATGTTTAGAATTTTTTTTTGAGTACGCAATTTTGTAGCCCATTAAATTTGAGTATAATAAAGTCCAAGTGTTAAGCTACTGCAAAATTGCGTTGATTTTTAATATTGCTTATGCTCACGGCTTTTGCACTTTTTCCTTATCGATCAAAATGCCTAAAACCGTTTTCAAAGAAAATTAAAAAAAAATGAACGGCAGTTTTGCAATCGCTTCAAACTTCCACTTTATTATACTAAAATTTAATGGGCCATAAAACTGCATATTCAAAAAAATTCTAAAGAAGTTTAAAAAATTTGTAAATTGGTAATGTACCCATTTTACTCAACTTCGGTGTAAAAAAAAACATTACTCAAGTTATTTTAGAGTGCACCCCATAACATTATACTTAAATATTGCGCAATACTCAGAGCTACCATTGTGATTTTTTCAAATTTTTTTTGAGATAGCATATTTTCAAAAACTATTTTTTTTTATCAAAAAATCTGTATGTGGAAAATTTTCAAGAAAAAAATTAAAAAATATTTTTTTTTCGTAGGGAATTTTGATGTGTGTATGTGTGATTTTATCGATAAAAACGTTTTAATTGCGTATGCATGTTCACTTTGAGCAAATTGTGAGCACTGGTTGGGGAAATCTTCGGTAGAATGGGCAAATGGCTAATTGGGCCCAATTGGGTCAAAATTAGAGCCCAATTGGGAAAAACTTTTGGCTCTGATCGGGCAACCTCAAAAAATTTCCAGCAAGGAAATTTTGTCATAATGGGCAAAAATTTTGGGGCCCTCAACTGGCACGAAAATCTGCTAGCATCATATAAGTGCATTTTCAGAAAAAAATCATAACTCGAAAATGACGAATTTTAGCATATTGCTACTCGTACTGAAAATAGTTTATACTATTCCCTAATAGACAAAAAAGTTTGAGAGAAAAAAAGATGTGGCAATTTGAAAAAAATCAATTTGAAAAAAAAAATAAAATTTTTGTTTATAAACAATAATTAATTATTAATAAACAATTAATGATGTTTAGTTCACTAGATGGATTCAGTAGATCAATATCTGCAATTAAAAAAAACAATCGTTAAAATCCTTGCTTTTTTGCGACAGTTATAAACGATTTCATCAAAAGTTGCTATTAAGAATGGAAAAACGAAGCGTTCGTACTCAAAAAGAAAAAAATTCATCATTCGAAAAATTCGCATTTCTGAGCAAATAAAAAATACGTGTCTCCTTAAATTGTTCAAGGAACAATCCCTGTGAGTTTCATCGCATTTGAGATGGAATGAGCCGTATGTATTTACACATAGATATATGAGTAGTATGTATCTATTTTAAAAATAATAGCTTGTTAGCTACCCTAAATTTTTTGTTCAATAGAATAAAATTAAATACGTAAAAAAGGAAACAGGGACAAACTTTAAATCCATTTTTTCGAAAAGGGCCCAGTAGGCGATTTTAAATTAAATTGGAAACTGTTTCCGAAGCTTACCAGAAACACATCCCGGAAGAAAACCGGATGTAGAACAATCCTCTTTAAGTTTATCAAGTCTTTTATTAGTCTATAAAAGATACAATACTTTACTTATACACATACATATATTACTAAAGTAAAAGAAAAACAAACACATATGCATTTCGCTGTTACATAGGTATGTCAAGAAACAATGAGCTTTCACCGGAACTATCTTCTACCGGTCATGGTTTTGGAAGGCTCTGTTTTCTCCTGAAAAGTATTTATTATTAATATGTATTCCATAAATAGCTTAATAAATGTACCCTATGGTCATTTCAGCGAAGACGACACCACAGGTCAAAAAATAAATTTCATAGATTGCGTTTGAACCTGTCGCAACAGAAATCGATTTTTATCAATTCAATTTTCACCATTTTCTCAATTTTTATTGTTCTCGTCAAGTTGTCAAGCCATTGCTCGTGTATTTAAGATGACAATGCAAATAATTATCCAAAGAGGAAGTACACCTCATGGACTTTTAAACAGTGCTGAGTTATTACAAAAACAGATTTATCGTAAGAAGTTGTCAGCTTTCAACGAAATGCTTATTGTCCCACCCGTCACAGCTAATTTTTTTTTTTAGCCTAACTTTGAAAATACGAAAGCTCCCCATCGTTTAAATAAGGTCATTTTATTAAAAGTATAATAAATATTCATATGAAACAACATATGTGACCTGGTGTACGAAAAGGGAGCTTACGTGCGAAAACTAGTTTTCTGTGAAAAAGCTGTTAAAAGTAAGCAACTCGTTTCGTCAGTTTCTCATTATCTCGTTAATTGTTATAATGTAATTGTAATTGTAATTGTATAATGTAATTGTATAATGTAATAAATTATATTTTGTCGTATTTTTACTCTTCTTTCTCTACATTTTGTAATTGTAATTGTATAATGTAATTGTATAATGTCATGTAAATGTATAATGTAATAAATTATATTTTGTCGTATTTTTACTCTTCNACTTCTAAGCAAGTTAGGATTTTCTGCTTTTCACCACGTGAAAAAGCATCTCATCTTCCATCCGAATCAACCAAAAAGTGAAAATTGATTTTTTGACACCTAAGCCCCCTTTCCGTAGACCAGGTCACATATGAATATTTTTTTCCGGCTAACTTGTATGGGGCGGCCCACTGTGCGACGTTTTTGATCCCAAATATTAGGATAATTATTTTGGGTCTCTGGTTAAAAGTTGTCAGAATGTGGTGCGCCTATAGTTTGTTCGACCACTGTATGTATGTACATATGTACATATATAATGTACGCTGCACAGATTCAATAAGTTATGTTAATAGTATTGCCCTTGTATAACGTTCTGAAAATGCTTTCCAATACAAAAAAAATGCTTACAATAGAGAATTTTGCAGTACAGCATTGGGAAAAACATAATTAATGCAATAAAGAGTTCTATCAAGTATAATTTTGCAGAATGTTAACAGCCAGAATTTTTGTTACAGAATGTTGTATTTATTATAAAAATTGTGTAATCAACCCGGTAGCATTTTCAACTTAATAATATATTCCACTCACCTTCAGCACATTACTGCTGGATTTTACAGCTTCAGTAGTCATTAGTAGTTTTATTTGTTCTTCCAAATGTACTACCTTGGCTTCAGCTTCTTGTTTTGAAATTTCTAATTCCTCTATTTTCTTTTCATACTCCTCAGAACGCCTTATCTCTTTAGCTTTCACCTTCTCAACTATATCATCTAAAATAAGGGACGTATCAATGTTAAACGTACGATTTTCGAAGTTTGGATCGCAATAGCCCTTATGTAAAACTATTTGTTGTATGCATTCTTCAATTAGTTGATAGTATGCCGGACGAAAGTAAAAATCATCTCTTATATATAGTAAATGCTGGAGTATTGACAAGAAATATGGTTCGGAGCTGGTATCTGTTACAAGATTTTTAAGTACATCAAAACAGTCCGTCATATCGTCCATGTTAAAGCTTACGTTCTCAAATCTTTGGGTAAACTCTTCGAAATCATCTTCTCGTATTTCGTTAAAAATTTTAAAATGTTGTTTCAAAGCATCGTTATTACTTTTTGAAACGATGTCTTTAAACTGATCAAATCTTTCATAAAGTCCCATTCTCATTATTTCACAGCGTAAGTGTAGACGAAAGTTTAAGTCACTGGGCGTGTTTGTTAATGTATTAATAAATATAAGACTATGGCAGGTTAAATCTTTCTTTGTGTCACTTTTTTCTTCAACGAATAAAGCATCAACGATTGGCCTAAAACGTTCACTCGTTTTATATTTGTTCGATGCGGCGGTAGTAATCGCCCTCAGTACTTTATCATAGCCATCACGTTCCGGGACAATACAAAATGATGCCAGTAACTTCAAAGCTTCGCACATTGTATGTGGTTTTCGGGGATTTAATGACTGCGCTAATAACAGGACAACTGTGTGCAGCTCAGGCGTTAACACTAAATTCAAGCCCCATGTATTGTTCATTACAGCTTTCAAGCAGCGAATACACTCAAACTCAATTCTATCGAAACCACGCTCTTTGAAGGAGCGTCTTAATAATAAAACAATTTCATTTATACCATCTTCTCCGAACTCCTTTATCCACGAAATGGGATTGCTTGTAAGTGCTACCCGCAAACTCTCAAGGCACAGGTAGATTTTATTTTCACTGTGCTCTTTGTTACGCATGTATTCTATGTAATCATACGGTTTTTCAAATCGTGAACTTGAACGGTTTTCGTTAGCTGTTTTGCCTGAAATAAAAAAAAATTGATTACAAATACAGTTGCAAGAACGAAGAGAAGGTAAAGAAAAATTAGCACTTTCTCTGACATTGACCTAGTTACGAAAACGTAGTCTCAAGCATCTCTTAAACGATTGCCCAGCGGACTAAGAATCCTAGAATTTTCGGGAAAATAGATGAACCATTTACATGGGAAAGGCTGCGGTGTACAAAAGGTCTCTCTAATGTATCACAATGGGGAATTGTGGCTGAGGCGTGACTCTCTACATCCCCTATACAGTGTGGCAGTCATAAGCTTTGGTGAGTGTGTCTAGACCAGGGATTGGCAAAGGGTGCTGTTTTTGTGACTTTAAGCCTACTCACGTTAAAAACGGGGGATGAACGAACACCAGCGCAAAGCGTGCTGTCTTACAAATACAGCCACCACAAGTGAACGATGCTTATAACAGCTCATACTGATATTGACTTCGGCAAAGCTGTACTCCGAATGATCGTGCACGAAACCAGCAACCGCCGTATTTGATCGACTGCCGAAAGCACGATACTGCATTTGGACGGTTGCCGAAAGCATGAGAGCTCATTGGGACGGTTGGCGAAGGCAAGACGCCGCAGTTCGTTTGTTGCAGAAGTCGTTTGACTTGTTGCTGAAAGCCATTTCATTTGTTGCTGAAGGCATGTTTGATTGGTTGCCGAAGTCATGATACTGTATTTCAAAAACAATTCAACGACATTTGCTTGTTTAAAATGTAGCATTGATATGTACATACATACATACATACGTACGTATGCACATTCCTCATAACTAGCCTGCCAACACGTTCTTGGCGCCAGCAGAGTGTAAAGGCCCGTCCACATAGAGCTTTGGCGTTGCGTTGGCGTTGGCGTCGCTTAAACAGCTGACTATGAATACATGAATTCAAATGCAGCCATCCAAATAGCCAAAATTCGACAACGCTCACGCCAACACAAAGCAAAAAGATGGCCAACTCTTAACTTTTCGCTCGTCAGCTGTTGCAAATAAATTAAATTATGTGAAATATTTTTCCTTTTTAATCAAGTGCGGGCAAGAAATATCGTTTTTAATGTATTTTTTGATATGGAATATTAATTTATCTGTCGATAGTATGTTAATTTAGTAGCCCAAGCATTCGCTGCCAAGCGTTCATTGTAGCAAGCATACTTTTAACGTGCGTTCTGTCAAACCAACGCCAAGGCCAACGCGAAAGTTCTATGTGGACCGGCCTTAAAGCAATTGAATGGTAGACGCGCTATAAGTACATAAACCACGTTGTCGAGTTTAAATCGCGGTAAATCAGCTGCACTTGATAGTAGTTGGTTGAATAAGGAAAATGAATTCGCAACAAGAGTACGGGATGTACATAGCTCAGTGGTTAACGCTTCTGACTTTGAACATCGAATACGCAGGTTCGATCCCTGCTGAAGTCTAGAAAAAAGAAGTCTGATGAGGAGATGTGGTGATCTCCGAAATAGTGCTATAACTTCTACCGCTTAGACTTTGTTGCTTTTTCAATTTTTCCTAATAAACAATCGTGGTACAAAGCTCAATAAAAATATTAAAAATAAAATGTTAACAAGCCACAATAACATTGACAAAAAAACTTTTTAACATACCACGCTTTTATAAATGGACTAAAAATTAGAAAAAAATTTATCTCAGCCACATAGAATTTGTTTTAATAACTTTTGATTTTGAAAATTTAGCAAAAGTCTTATAAAAATTTTATGAGATTGAAAATGAAAAGCGTGGGGTGCACGTAATAGACCTGCATTGATATGAAGAGTAATATATGTATTTATGTATGTGGGTATATGAATAACGACCGCCTAAAATCGATCTCAAATTTGTACTTTCTCCGTCGAAGTTTTAGGTATATTTATAGTTTGACTATTTTCAATCAGTGGCATCAGTCGGAGAGTGTCAACGTGAATAGACATGTATTTGATTGCTCTGCAATAATTTGTTATAAATCGAGATATTTCAAACTTATATTCATGTTTAAACTTGGCTGATGATTTTACGAGATAGTGACTCTATACCATCAATGAAATATTTATAAACAAGTGAAAAAGATTAAATTCAAGAGTTGAATTCTAAATAATAATTTTTCTAATTCCACCTTCTTTTGCACAAAATAAACAAAATGGTAAACAAAAGCGCGGTGGCTGAGTGAATAATGGAAGAGTGTCACAAGTGCCGAAAAGGCACAAGAGAGAAAACTGGATTGCACTGTGCGGGTGTGTGTGGTAGAGTCTATCACAAAACCAAAGCGTGTGCATCTATAGATGACTACTGTTTGCAAGGTTTAGTAAATTGCCCCTACTTAAGATTCATGTGTGATGACTGTGTTAAATACATATCTAATGTTGATTATGCGCTCAAACAAATGATATCAATAGCGGAAAGCAACAAAATAAATATATGCGAGCAGAAAACGGAATTCGAAAGCCTAATAAACAATCATAATAGGGAAATCAAGGAATTAGTAGCTAACAATGAGAAAGAAATTAAGAGGGTAATGGAGACTTCAAATAAAGCAAATAAGGAGAAAGATGATTTAATTAAGAGGGTGGAAAACGTGTGCATTTTTAATAAAGAGTACTTAGAGAAATCAGCTGAAGGTTTGTCTAAGCAAAGAGACACAAACAATGGTAACAGCCTTACATCGTATACTAATGCTTTAAAAAGTGTCCCACCTATTATAATATATATTATTTTATGGGCAAATCTAAAAAATAGGTACACTTTCAAAATAAAAATTTTAATTTTTAAATTTGTGTGCACACCTATGTTTTATATATCATTTTATTCGTAATCTATTAATAAATCGATTAATATAAGTGTAATTCATTTTCATCAAGTGCTTTAAAAGTTAGACGAGGAATAAATATGAAATAGAAAACAAAAGAATAAGCTGGGTTCAAATTACGCTGTTCAAGTTGTAAACTTTGAACAAAGATTTTGAAAGTTGAACTCACTTAATTGGGACGTTCTAAATTCAATGGCATGCCCCGTTTTACCAGATTGGCTCCGATTTTCGAGATAACGGTACTTGAAAATTTGATTAAATTTTAACTATTTTATAAATAACTCCCTCAGTTTTGAAGTTATTGTACTAAAATTTTGCACATAACAGTTTTTTAATATTACCTTAATTATTCTTTAAAATTATCGAAATAGGTTCACATTAACATACATATAGCTCCAATACAACTGATTACTCAGATATGTGTTTTTGCGCTATAACTCTAACTTCATATCTGAATAATAAATTGTATGCGTGCTATATGTTAAATTGAACCTATACTAAATTTTAACCTGTTTAATTGGAGGAGTTACAACGCAAAACAACGTCTCTGATCAATCAGTTGTATGGGAGCTAGATGTTTTAGTGTAGGGATGCACAGCAAAGGTGCACGCAGTCGACGTCGCGGGCAAACTGCGCGCACGCGAGCATGGTAGGTGAGATGAAGTGAGCTGTACGGAGATGGCATCGTATACATATTAACCACTTCACACTTCTTTTCAATAAAAATGCATTTATGTATGTGTACTTTTGCGACAACTGAGCCAGTGACATCAGGCCACCAGAAAAAGCCAAATTTTCCAAAACAAAAGTGCCAAGTTTTTATTATCATGTTTAATAATTTTTTTGATTCAGTAAAAAGTGTATATACCCACTAGAACTTGAAGGGAGATCTCCCTATGTGAGGAATAAAAGAGTACTCCCCTTAACCTGATTTCTGAGCAATAAGAGAGATTTGTCGGTTTTGTACTCCTTTATTACTCGTTTAGGAGTCAAATAAGAGATCTCCTAAGCGAGCGACGAAATATTGCTCCCTGAGGCATGATTTGGGAGCAGTAAACGAGATTTCTCGGTTTTGTACTCCTGTATTGCTCGCTTAGGAGCTTAATGAGAGATCTCCTAAGCGAGCAATTAAAGAATGCTCCCTGAGGCATGATTTGGGAGCAATAAGCGAGATTTGTCGGTTTTGTACTCCGTTATTACTCGCTTAGGAGCAAAAAGTGATGTCTCCTAAGCGATAAATCCAAGAGTATTCTTTTTGATTGATAGGAGAGCAATACGCCTCTCGCCCAAAAGAAATTTGTGTTTTCGAAAAAATTTATCATACAAAAAAAAACAACAGAAAATATTTCTTATAGAAGCATAAGGAGCACACAATAATTTAATTTGGATAGCACACAGATTTTAATAAAAGTCCGTTGGTATGCACTTCAATTTTTGTTTAAATATATTAAGTATGTATTGTATTACTTGTAAATGCACCCTTAAATACTTTTCAGATTGCGCAAATTAGTGTCAGCATTTAAGTGTGACCCCCGGCTTTAAACATCGCATGGGTGACAAAGATGTCAGATAAGCAAAGTCACCTTCACAATTTCCCCGCTTGGTGGATTCCTGAACTGGCAAGCATCCTTGACACCCAGGAAATCATATAGGAGTACATACTTATATGTGCATATAGGTGCATATAATTCAAATCTTATCTTACCGTTTTGTTATTATTATGTTTTAATTTCATATGATTTCTCTGCAATATATTTCTAAAATTAAGCAATTATGTAAGACGTATCATTTATGCTTTATTTTTAAGATCTTGTAATATTGCACAAATGCATGTGATTAAAAAGTTAAATAAAAAAATTTAATAAATAGCAAAATCCATTTGGCTAATGTAAAATATTCGTTATCATTGCTCTCTTATTACTCCTACAGGAGGTTTTCGGGATGTCTCTAATGGGAGCGCTCCTTTATTGCTCGTTCGGGAGGAATATGGGATGTTTTCTATGTGCACTCCCTTGTTGTCTTTTTGGGAGGTTTCTGGGAGGTAACTATGGGAGTACTCCCGTATTGCTTTATTAGGAGGTTTGTGGGATGATAATTCTGTGTGTGCTCCCCGATTGCTCGTTTAGGAGGTAAAAGGGATTACTCCCCCTCCTAGGACATCCAATTTAAAGGGAGTATACAA